AAAAAGAGTGGGTTATAGGAGAAAGGATAGAAACAAAGATTCATGAAACAATTAAAGTTAAGAAATAAAGGTGGGGCATGGTGACTCACACTTGTAATCCAGAGCTTTAGGAAGCTGAGGCAAGCGGATCACAAGTCAGTAATTCTACACCAGCTTGGCCAACATTGTGAAACGCCGTCTCTACTAAAAATTTGTCAAAAGGTTAGCCAGGCGTGGTGGCACGTGCCTGTAATCCCAGCTACTCGGGGGACTGAGACAGGAGAATCGCTTGAACCCGGGCGGCAGAGATTGTGGAGAGCCGAAACCGGGCCACAGCACTCCAGCCTGGGCAAGAGAGCGAGACTCTGTCTAAAAAAAAAAAAAAAAGAAAGAAAGAAAAGGAAAAGAAAGAAATACAAATACACCTAATTGATATTTTAAACTTTTATTTTAAGAAAAAACATTTAGGTCGGGCGCGGTGGCTCACACCTGTAATCCCAGCACTTTGAGAGGCCGAGGCAGGTGGATCACGAGGTCAAGAGATCGAGACCATCCTGGTCAACATGGTGAAACCCCATCTCTACTAAAAATACAAAAAATTAGCTGGGCATGGTGGCGCGTGCCTATAATCCCAGCTACTCAGGAGGCTGCGGCGGGAGAATTGCCTGAACCCAGGAGGCGGAGGTTGCGGTGAGCCGAGATCACACCATTGCACTTCAGCCTGGGTAACAAGAGCAGGAAAAAAAAAAAAAGAAAAGAAAAAACATTTAGATTTACAGAAGAATTACAGATAGTTCAAAAATTTCCCATATGCCCTATACCCAGTTTCTACATCCAGTTTCCCTATTATTAATATTTTACATTAGTATAGTACATTTGTTAAACATAATGAACAAATATCAACACATTATTAGTAATTAAAATCCATACTTCATTCAGGTTTTTTTTGAGAAATAGTCTTGCTGTGTTGCCTAGCCTAGAGTGCATTGGCACAAACACAGCTCACTGCAGCCTTGAACTCCTGTGTTCAAGCAGTCCTCCTGCTTCAGCCCCCCAAGTAGATGGGACTCCAGGCCACTGCAACCACCAGATTTCATGAGTTTGTAGAATATCCCTTAAATGGAATTTGTCTGATGTTTCTTCATGATTAGCCTGGGTATATAGATTTGGGGGAGGAAGATCATAAAGTGTCATTTTCATCACATCATATCAAAGGTACTTATCAACAGCATAACTTATCACTGTTGATGTCAACCTTGATCACCTAACTGAGATAGTAGTTTGTCAGATTTCTCTACTGTGATGTTGCATTTCCCTACTTTCCATACTGTACTCTTTGGAAGGAGGACAATATGTGCAGCCCTCAGTTATAGAGTGAGGCCAATTGATTTTTTTGTTGTTGTTTTACAAACTTGCAAAAGCAAATGGGCCGGGTGTGGTGGCTCACGGCTGTAATCCAAGCACTTTGGAGGCCAAGGCGGGCAGATCACCTGAGGTCGGGAGTTCAAGACCAGCCTGACCAACATGGTGAAATCCCGTCTTAAATAACAACAACAAAAAAAAAAGGCAAATGAAGGAGGAAAGCATCTTTTCAACAATTAGTGTTGCAATAATTAGATATTCATATGGAAAGAATGAATCTTCGTTCATACTACATACCATATACAAAAATTTTAGAGTGCATCAAAGACCCAAAGTAAAGCTATTCACTTAGAAGAAAACATAGGTGTAAATCTTCATGACCTTGGATTAGGCAATGATATATTAGATATGGTACCTTTAGTGCTTTATGGTACCTAAAACACTAGAAACCTAGGGAAAAATTGATAAATTGGACAAAAGTTTTAAATTTTGTGCTTCAAAGGTATTGTCAAGAAAGTGAAAAAACAACTCACAGAATGGGAGAAAAGATTTGCAAATTATCTATCTGATAAGTAAAGAAGTACTGGTTGTAATCCCAGCGCATCAAGGCTGAGGCAGGTGGATCACCTGAGGTCAGGAGTTCAAGACCAGCCTGGCCAACAAGGCAAAACCCCGTCTCTACTAAAAATAGAAAAATTAGCTGGGTGTGGTGGTACATGCCTGTAATCGCAGCTACTCAGGAGGCTGAGGAAGGAGAAGCACTTGAACCCGGAAGGTGGAGGTTGCAGTGAGCTGAGACAGCGCCACTGCACTCCAGCCTGCGTGATGAGAGTGAGGCTCCATCTCAGAAAAGAAGTCTTACAACTCAACATAAAAAGACAACCCAGCACTTTGGGAGGCCGAGGTGGGTGGATCACAAGGTCAAGAGATCGAGACCATCCTGGTCAACATGGTGAAACCCCGTCTCTACTAAAAATACAAAAATTAGGTTGGGCTTGTTGGCAAGTGCCTGTAATCCCAGCTACTTGGGAGGCTGAGGCAGGAGAATTGCTTGAACCCAGGAGGCAGCGGTTGCGGTGAGCCGAGATGGTGCCATTGGACTCCAGCCTGGGTAACAAGAGCGAAACTCCGTCTCAAAAAAAAAAAAAGACAACCCAATTTAAAAATGGACAGAGGATTTGAATAGACATTTTTCTAGAAATATGCAAGTGGCCAAGAAGCAGAATAAAAAATAACCAACATCATTAGTCATTAGGGAAATATAAGCCAAAACCACTTCACACCCAGTAGGAGAGCTATAATCAAAAACATAGACAATAACAAATATTGAATAACAAGTGTTGATGAAGATTTGGAGTTATTGGAGCCCTTGTACATAATTGATGGGAACGTAAAATGGTGCAGCCACTTGATAAAACAGTTTGACATGTTCTCAAAAAGTTAAATCTCTGCCAGAAGATGGTGGTGGCCACCGAGTTGTGGCTGCTGAAGTCCCTGGGACTGAGTAAGGGGAATAATAAATACAGTGCTCAGGGTGAGTGACAGCTTCCAGCTCTTCAAACAAACAATGGTCCAAGTCTAACAGGACTGACTACTATAGCAGCTCATCTAGTCAAGCAAGCCAACAATATTTGCTGGAGAGTACTGCAGAAGAAAAAACAATATTCAGCAATGGTTAGAATACAGAGTTGCTTGAGTAGATGATGATAAAAATGATATCATCCAATAAAAATGATATCCACACACTGTTGAAGGATATCGATTCATATCTTGAAGATAAAGTCTAATGTGTCTCGCTGGTTTTATCACATTCAGCATTATCCAGGCATCCGGCAACATCTGTCTAGTGTTGTCTTGATCAAAAACAGACTATATACTAATTCCCTCTAGAAGCTATCCATGCTGTATAGAAGATGTTAAAAATGTTTTAAGGCTGGGCACGGTGGCTCACACCTGTAATCCCAGCATTTTGGGAGGCCAAGACAGGTGGATCACCTGAGGTCGGGAGTTTGAGACCAGCCTGACTAACATGGAGAAACCCTGACTCTACTAAAAATACAAAATTAGCCGGCGTGGTGGTACATGCCTGTAATCCCAGCTACTCGGGAGGCTGAGACAGGAGAATCACTTGAACTGGGAGGCGGAGGTTGTGGTGAGCCAAGATCACACCATTGCACTCCAGCCTGGGCAACAAGAGCGAAACTGTCTCAAAAGATAAATAAATAAAAATAAAAATGTTTTAAATGGAAAATGTATTTTGACCACAGGAGTAAGGTAAATTAATATGTAGTCACTTATTATTTTGTTGAAGTTGATCGAATTTTTAAAATGTAAACTTGTCTGAATGTTTTATTTTTTAGTTGAAGTTTTGCAATTTTTTTATGTAAAAATTCAACTGCTATTAAAAAGACAAGTTGAGATCAAGTTATAAATTAACCTTGTTTTTAATGGATGACATTTATTTCAATAAAAATTGCAAATCAGTGGCTTAACCTTAAAAAAAAAAATAGGTGGCTTGGCCGGGCATGGTGGCCCACGCCTGTAATCCAAGCACCTTGGAGGCCAAGGCGGGTGGATCACCTGAAGTCGGGAGTTCAAGACCAGCCTGACCAACGTGGTAAAACCCCATCTTTAAAAAATAAAAATAAAGGGGCCGGGCCCGGTGGCTCACACCTGTAATCCCAGCACTTTGGGAGGCCGAGGCGGGTGGATCACGAGGTCAAGAGATCGAGACCATCCTGGTCAACATG